GCTGTGCCAAGTTCCACATTCAAGAGCAGGTGGCATGAGCTCCTCCATGCTGTAACAATTCCATGCAACAAATAACATACTCGCTCCTTGTCCAATATGTGATGAGGCTCCGAGTATACATTTAAACCTAAGGCACTTTCTAAGTAAACACTCTCACATGTTAGAGTATTAGAGTACCAATGTAGTGCAAATGTGGTGTCAAAAGTACTTATACTGCTTTGAGAACTGAATGAATGAAAACATGCATTCCATGATGGCACAATTATACAGAATAACTGACAGTGTCTGTCAAAAACAGGAATTTAATTGAGCACATTGCTGGTTTAGTTTAAGAGGCTGATCCCTAGCAAACATTTAGTGGTCTAGATTCATGCCAGCTGGAGGCAAGAACAAAAACAGACTAACTCCTTTGTCGGAGAACACGTTTCTACTACTTCTTAAATTGACAGCTGTATTGATCCAAGGTATCTCTGTGCCAGTCAGGAAAAGGTTATCAAGCAGAAAGCAAGGGTATTGATATGGGCAGAAATGATCTCTCAGTTCAACAGTTTTCTGGCCAACTGGTTAGAGTTGCATGTGGAAAAATGCAGGTTTAATGAACTGATTAACTAGTGAACTGACATGTGTCCACAGAATGGATCACAGTCTGTTGTTTTGGGTACTTCCCGGCAGCCTCCTCTAAGAGATCAGAGAGTTGCTGACCTCTCATGTGGGGAATACCTCTAAATGTAAGGCAGGCTTCACCAATCCTGGATGGATTATTATCTTTTTTGTTTCTTCCAATTAAAGTTGAAATCCCCTTTGGATGTTACAAAGCCTTCTTGAACAAGGACATCATTTTACCTCAGAAACAGCATGTGAGGTCTTCAGGACTCATTAGGGCACATACAGTATTAATACACGACCAAGGCTGAACCAAATGTTGCCAGAAACAGGTGGGCAACAGGAGATAGAGGGGGGGCAGAGAGGAGGGGTAAAGGGATCTGTGAGTCTAGACCCCCCCCCCCCAAACCCCAGCACTAGCAACAAGAGATACAAGATACAAGAGGGTGCCCAGAATATCACCTTCCATGGAGGTCCATGCTGTCAAAGCACTCACTCTGGCCAGGAAACCTGCTCAAATTAATTACTGCCAGTGTTTTTCTACGAGGGGTTCCAAAAGCTACTTCTCAGTGGCACCATTCTTCAGCACAGTGCCATCTGGAGCTCCTCCCAGCAACATGTAAGAAGAGTATTCTTCGATAAATATGTTCGTTAAGACGTTAAATATGTCTTCTGAAGAAAACATTGTGAGCTTCTGCAGCAGTCATGACCTACAAATAACTTCAAGTAATATTCTGACGTTGCGTAAATCTCTATAAACCTCTTGTCTGGTGCATTTCCTAGCAGCAAAGCCTGTTTGCTTTAATGGGTTATGAAACTGTAAGGGATTACCAGAGCTTTCTGAGGTCAGAAATCTAAATTGTTTGGTCTTTGGAGCGGACAGAACTGTGTCAGTTTCAGCCATTCTTGGCTACACTGCTCCCAGATGTAGTGAAAGTGCAATCGATGATCCCGCTTCTCCTTGATGCTCCACAGCGCTCGCTTGGCTCCTAATGAGGCCAGGTGGATATGGCCCAGGTAAACCCCCACCAGCCCAGCAGCACGCTGGCAGCTGCCGGCCTGCCCCTCTGAGGGACGTGAGGACTTAGCCCAGTGGTCAGATCCAAGGACATTCATCCATTCTCCTTCCTCCTCTTTGTCTCAGGCTGTGCTTGTCGTCGCCGACAAACAGTTCGAGGAAAATGTGTTGAAACTGCACAAAAAAACTTTCTGTCACAGAAAACATAAAGGCTCCCTCCAATTTGCTAAGGTGCAGGGATTTTGCAGCATAAAAAAGGAAAGCTTTTCTACACAAACCATCTCTCCCAGCTAGACTGCTATTTAATTAACGTTCACGTGTTAGTCCAGTGGTGCATCTTCCCCGGGTTCAAAACCTCATTCACGTTAAACTCTATGTAGTTGGTCTATTCATTTCTAGATTGTAAGATATATTGAAAATTTCTGACATGTTTGTTAACCTTGTGCAGGTATGATGTATGTTTGTGAATGGGTTCCTGTTGTGGTTGGCTCAGTGGTGCAGTGGTTAACATCCCTGCTTCGCGGGGGGCTGGGTTCTGTTCCTGGGGTGCTATCTGTCTGGAGTTTGTTTGATCTCCTTGTGTTCATGTGGGTTTCCTCCCACAGTCCAAAGACATGCTGGTAGATGAGTTGTCTTCTGAGAAAATTGGACAGTGTTTGTGCCTGTGTCTGTCCTGTAATGTCCCATCCAGGGTGTAGGTCTTGCGTACTGTATATTTACATTAACATTGATTTGGAAGTAGTGGAAATGCTATTAATAAAATATTAAATATATGCGGCAATATTATTTATTTGAATAAGGGGAATGAAGCTTGCATATTGTGACACTTTTCCCTCCTGGTGTTTTCATTTGATTGATTTTTAGTGGCTTTCCATTTAACTTTGTTTACATGGAATGGTTATATAGATTCCATACATATGTAATTGTGACTGCTTTGGTTATTCATCTATAATCTGTATATGGTCCTTTAGTGCTAAATGATACAATTCTGAAAATATGTATTTCTTCATTTAATTCACCTAATAACTATTATATTGGCCATAATTATATGCAGACACAGATGTCGATTTTTAAAAAAACATAAGTCACATTATATATAAAGAGAATAAATAGAAATATGTTCTGCTATTAGGCATGTGTTCAAGCCAGACATGCTTATTAGATCCATTAAATTCTTCTGAATTACATTCTGTACAAGACTATTGAAGAAGGAAAAAGAAAAAACAATGAAGACAATGTTAAATTTTGTAGCACAAGCAGACATCTCTGACATGTACTTTTCTCATATTTAATAAACCAATCGTTCCTAACCCTGCCCAGCTGCCCAGCTGCCCGGCTGCAGGCTGGTTTATGGGAAAAAGACCCCCTCTGTCTGTCTGGTTGGTGGAAACAGTGAGTGGGAGACAGCAATCAAGCCTGAAACACAGACACTGGAACATTAATTCTTCTAGTGTTCAACTTTGTAGCTGATCCTACGATTCCAGTTGCGCTGCGGTGAACTTCGGGATGCAAGGAAGCACGCGAAGGTTTTGATTAATTCCCAGTCTCCTCAACCTTACACCGTGCCCGGGAATGCTCCATTTGATGGCATGGATAAAACAGACCTTCACAGAAAGAATCGTTCAGATGGTACAACAGTTCAAGATGCAAGTGCTCTGCCTGCAAAGGAAAAACAAGGAAATAGCTACTCATCAATCAAACTACAAGACAGAGATGGCAGAGTCATTATTCCTTGGGGAAGCAGGTTCAGAAATAGGCAAGCCTTCAACTGTCTGCATCCACCTTTGAGTCCAGACGGCTTGTCTTGTTTGTACAGCGGAGATGCAAATTTCTCCAGCACATTGTCTGTTCTGCCAAGGGGGCCCAGATCTTCATGCTAACCTCATGGACGGGTCAGCACAGTGATCCTCACAGCAAAGTGTAGACTACGACAATCAGGTTCGGTTCACAGACACATACAGAACCTTCCAGGTGTGTGGCATTTTTTTAAAGAGAAAATTTGTCACAGGAAATCTTGGAAATGTGAATATTGATTAGCTCTCAAAAGGTAGGCCTTGTCAAACTTCCATAAATGCTAATTTTACTGGGAAAAGTAACGCTCAGTCCTTAATAATAATAATAATAATATACAATAAAACAAACAAATGTGATTGCTTTATGCAAATTTATATATTAAAATAAATGACTAAATTAAATACCGAATTACAAGCTGCAGCCTAATTTTTAGACAGGATTTGAAAGTGATAACTGATCTGCAAGATCTGATTTGTGTCCAACTGTCCCTGAGTGTGAGAGAGTTTGCAAACCCAAAGCAGAATTATGGGTTAACTCTGCAGCTCCTACAGGCACTGCCATGGTGATGTTTAATTACCGGGCAGTTATTTTACTCTGTTTAATGTTTCATCTGAAGGGTGACATCAAGCCACAAGGTGGTAAGACGGCAAACAAAATCTCTTCATATTCCCGCCCTGTAGCCTGATTCAAGTTGATCTCAGAAGCTACAGGAAGCTGGGTCTGGCCCGTACGGAGATGGGCTCACAAGGTGAGGCTTTGGTTGTAAGAGGAGTGGGTGACCAGTAGGAGGTGCTGTTCCCTCCGGACCACCATTTCTGAAGCAGTTCTCCAGTAATACTGGGAGCACTGGGCTGGCGGGAGGCAATGAAAAGTGCTATACAATCACTATTCATTAATTAGCACTTAATGATGCATTATTACACTCATCTGGGTTTGTTGCATATAATTATTTAGACATGAACACATAAGAGTTTGGTTAATCAGCACATCTGAGTGATGGGATCACCTAACTTGCTGATGGGTCTTCTGTGTCATTTTTTTACATGATGGTGTAACTAGAGCAGGGAGCTTCATGTCTTTTAAGCTCCCAAATGCGCATACTGAATTGAATCAATTTACTTTAAACAACAATGATGGATATATTAAATACATAGTGACATTCAATGCTTTAGAAGTATATATACACTCCTCTGCTGCTGCGGGACAAACCAACACAGTAGCACTGAACTGCTGATGGCATAGTATGTTCTCTGACTTGCAAGCAATTCATGTTTCTGAATTCGAGTGCTGTGAGAAAAATATGTCCTCAATAAGGAAAGCTACAAGCAACAAGAGGGCAGTGTGCCTCAGAACTGCACACACTGTAAGACAGATTTTTCTCTTTTGTTTTTCCTGCAGAAGATGTGGTGTTCCTATATTTTAACATATAGCCCCTAAATGTTCTTTATACATTATCATTACCATTATGGTTGCATCCAGGTCTGTGACATTTGCAAAACCTCAGCTTGGCTGTTTAAACAGGTGTATTTGCATATTAAGTCATCAGAAGAATGGAAAACGGTAAGCCACTGTGCTGAATTCGACCTTTATTGAGACTACTACTAGGCTTTAAAAATTGAGGAATACAGTACATGAGCAGAAACAAAGTTTAACGTAGTTGTCGCAGGTGTAAAGAGTCAACGTGCTCCTCTTGCAAAACGGAAACCAAAAAAAATCTCTTTCCGATCCCGTTCCGCCGTGCCATGATGGTAACCTTCGACACGTTGCACGCGTACAAGCAGAGTAGATATCCTTACTCTGAAGCTTGCTTGCTTTCTTGTAGGCACCCTGACGAAGTGAACCTGTTTTTCATTTCTGTAGTGACCCAGTAGAAAGCCCGGAGAGCCCTCGGCGCAGCAGCCTGTCTGACCCGAGCCGTCCAGCCGTCAGATGCGTGGGGTAGCAGCCCGGTCCTGCGAGCGTGGCCGGAATGAGTCGGCAGCCTTCACCTCTGACCGCTCACAGACTAGAGGTTTACTCCTCTGGACCAGCGTGGAAGGACATTTCCAGGTCGGCCGACCCTGTTTTGTCAAGGAGGCGTCCAGCTGCCACAGTCTTCCCAGCGGTCAAGCCAAAAAGCATCGACCTTTGGCGACACTGGCTTAAGTGTTTGAATTGAATTTGCTGCCAGGCGGGGAGATTGTAATGTGCACGAAGAGAAATCGGGGTTTTAAAAAAGCTGTACACTGTACATTCACGTGACCAGGTGGACATTTTGAAAGTCAGGTGGCGCTGGTAGTAAAAATAGTCATAGCGGTGCTGTTTTATTTCTGTTGCAGAACATCACAATTTATTGAAAATACCATTGGTTTTGCTCTCCTCTTTTTCGCTCTGTCCTTGTCTCTTTGTGAGATGTGTCTGTTTTTAAAGTTTGTTTCAGTAGCTTTTTTATTTTATTTTATTTTTTTACATTTACAGTACTCTCATGCTGTAGCTTCCACAACCCTTTGGGTGATCAATGTGTTTTTCAGGAGATCTTTAAGACATCTCTTTGCAGAGAATTACCGCCGACAGGGTGGTTTCTCATTGAAGCTGCATATTTCCTTGAATTAAACAAATGAATTCCTTTTTTTAACAAGCTCGCTGTAGTGGTTGTGTTCCTCTTCTAAATTATTAGTAACTACAGTACCTCTAGAAAGGCTGTGTAGGGTTTGAGCGAGTACAAGGTGTACAGTTGTGTAGGTATGTGAACAGAGAGGATCACATGAAAACAAGTCTGTCGTTTAGAGAAGGGGGAAAGTGTGAACCCAGTTTCAGGATAATTTTTGTTTCTGTTGTCTTTCTGCTTTGGGAGTTGAGAGACCCTTCTTTAAGAAAAGCGACAGAGATCAGTGTGATCATGGCCGTCAGAGGTGAAATGGAAAACTATGGTCTTGGAGAACATGACATGTTCTCTGAAGCGGTCTCCTAGTCTCCTACTGGTCTCCCCAGCGTAGATGGATGGGCATTTCCTGAAGGAGATACAGTAAATGGGGTTGCTGGAGGTACCAGAGGTCGCCTGGGTGATCCGGAATTGTCCTGAGGGGCCTTGAATGAGTGTGGTGGTGGACGTGCACTTGCAGGTGATACAGCGAGCTCTGTTGCAGGGGAAAGTGCCTGGTGTGGATGGTTGTTGAGTGCGGTCAAAGGACAAGCTCAGGTGGGTAGTTGCATGCTGACGCAGCTACCTACCTGAACTACTCCTCTCCACTGTATATGTTTATCTGCTGTACATACGTATTTGCTTTTTATATGTGGTATTTTCCAGCTTTGTTTTTTTTTCCCTTAGGAACTTTTTCCACTAGGGTACAGGTGGAAACTGCATGCTTATAAAACCAAGAACAAGAAGCCCCTTTTTGCCCAAAGGATTGTGGGAGTGCGGAACAAGACCCTCAGCCGTGCTGCTGGAGCAGATATCCCGGCTTCTTTCAGGACACAGCTAGATCCTGGGATCAATGAACTACTGACGGCCCATCAGGCCAGACGGGCGAATTGGCCTCTTCTCGTTTGTTACCTTTCCTACGCTCTAAGTTTGGAAGGCACAAGTTCCCTTCCTCAAGCAGCTCCAGCTGTGCTTTGCCACTCAACAAGAGAAGCCATGTGTGGGACCAAGGGTGCCCACAAACTTGCCTGGACTTGGCTCAATCCCCAGCATCAATCGGCGCAATCTAGCGGTTATTGATTAATTCCGCCTGCCACGTTGCCGATTCCGTTTTCTACAGATTTGTAACAAGCGCGGAGTTCCAGTTAACTCTTCGGTCTGCAGTGCGCGCTTTGATTTAGCATTAGTGGGGAAGAGTTATTGCAAATGCAGATAATCTGCTGGGCCAGGAGGTGCTTCCATAACTCATCTGGAGAACGTCTAGTTAGTCAATCACTCGATCTGTAATCACAAACGCTGCCAGAAATCGCATGAATGATGAGCTGTAATAAAACCAGTTACTTTTGTATTCTTTCTTTTAACTGTTATTGGCAGAGTTCTTTCTCCAGGGAGATGGTTGCAGTGAAACACAATGCTGATATGAAAGCAGCTCATTGGATCTATGCATACAGTATATTAGCAGATACTGGAGACAGATTATCTTGATTATGGGTATTACTGTTATATTGAAATGGCTTACAGCTGCCATTCAAAAAGTACCATAACATGTTTAAAGTCAGCTTAATTACTCTCCTTAAAAATTATAACACATGGTCGTATTATTTTAACTCGGCCGTTACATGTTTAATATGAAACAAATATATCTTTACAGAGCAAGGGAAGGCTTCTTTTACAGCTGCGTCAAGGGTGGAAGTGAGAAATATGGTTCAGCTGTAAAAACAAATTTCGCCTTCGGCTTTTCTCTTCTCCCTTAAAAAGATGGCGGTGAGGAAAATGGCCTCACTCTTTGCCTCTTTGCACGATGCACATGGCCTGCTTGCTGCTGTTGCACTTGAATCACATAACGGGTTTCCATGCAAAATTGCAGCTGCGAAAAATGTGTTTCATTGCACACTCATAGAACCATTTAAACTCTTTGGCATAGTTACTTTTTTTCCTTTCTTTTTTAGCAATATTGAGGCAAGAGAAACACTCAGTGGAGACACCTGGAAACATTTCTTTACACAGAGGGTTGCAGTTTAGAACAACCTACCCTGCCACACTGTTGAGGATGATTTGAGGGATCCTTCAAGGACCAGATCCTCGATTCAGTAACCAAATAAGCAAAGTGGATGGAACGCCCTCCTTCGTTCTAAAAACCTTGACGATCTTGGATGACGAGACATTAAAATCCAGGTTTGAGAAGCACATGCAGTACACGATGGGTGTTTCTCGTGCATCGATAGTGAATGAGTCTCTCAGAAAGACCCTATATTTTAACAAGATGAAACTCTTTTATTTCATTCCTCCTGTCTTGTATTAAGATCCAACACATTTCATTTCAGGAGCTCAAAACGTCCATTATCAAAAACAGACTATTATTAGTAGTAGCAGTAGTGGTATTAAGGGCCAGATCAATATCCTTCCTGAAAAATAAGGCATTGCATGATTAAATTTATATCAGACAGGATCAACTAAGAACCAAGTGTCTGAATGCCAACAATTCCTGAATAATGTGCTGGCTAAGAAAAAATTTTAAAAAAATAGTTTTTAACATTCGAATCATTTGTAAGGTTCGAGCATGACAGCTTTATTGATACAAGTGGCTGTAATCATTACATGATGGCCAACTTACACTATTGATCAGTGTATTGATAAAATCATACTTCAGAGCAAAGGTTTGTGGATCTGACATGCACATGTAATGGCATGACTGTTTTACTGCTGCACTAGATAAATGCTGCCTTTTGAATTGTGGTGAAATATCACCCAAAATATAAATAAACAGAGACATGCAGATACTGTATATACATTCCTAAAAACCTGATTATTGATCTGTCAGCCGGTGAGAAAAATGTGTTGATCTACACAAAGATGTTTCCAGTGAAACAGAGCATAGAAACATATTTAAAGAACAGGGGATTTTTCTCAGCCCCAAGGACACCTCTCCTGTCCCTTATAATAAAAAATTAAAGCATGTTCCTTTACAACACAAAAAAATATATTCTTAATTTAAATCAATGACCCCATAAAAATGCCATACCTCTAATTTTGTTAGACAAAGTGGTACTTTTCTAAAGCAGGGGTTCCCCATCCCACTCTGGGTCCTTAGAAACTACAATCCTGCTGCTCGATTTCTCACCTAAGCTCTCAGTTCCATAATCGAAGCCTTCGTAGACTCAATGAGAAGTTTAACTTGATCTCTTGAATTGTTTTCTGTTCCTCCACGTCGAGGAGTTTCTCTTTTACCTACCCTGGTTCTCGAGTGACTTTACAGCTCCAACCTTTGTGCAGAAAAAACCTCTCGAGAGTGGTTGTTCCAACTGAGCAACTCTTTGGTTCGGTTAATGATTTCTAATGTACAGATCTCAGATCAGATGGAAATCTGTAGCGTCCCCAGGAGCTGGGACTGGGAGCCTGGTCTAAATCGCTGGCACCTGACAGTGAGTTTGCAGGTTGCGGTTATGTTCATTTCTAATATATCGTAACGCATATGGCCGACAGGCACTGTGTAAGAGCCGGCGTACCAGAGTGGTGATGTCGCCGCCCTTCCCTGTGATAGCAGGACCACAGCCGCTGGGCTGAGGGGAGATCTCTCTTTAGCTCACCGGGCTGGGTCCCTGTTGAGCGACGCCCGAGGCCCGGGTTCGAGCCCCCGACGGTGGGGGGGGCGACCGCAAGCGGCAACGGCAAGGGCGCCCGCCTGAACGCTGAAGCGCTACAATATGTTGATGTTAAGCATAATGCTACAAATGAAACATTAAAAGGACATGATAACTGTAAAGTAGAAATTCAGTTTATTTTATTATTTTTTTCCTCTTTTGTCTATCTTTGATTTTAAAACAGATGTATGAATAAGATATCCTACAGGTGGCTGATCCGTTTTGTTACTCTGACTCAGAACGCGCCTCGTTGCCTCAGACGATGATGATGACTACAGTTCTCCAGCAGTGCGCAGTGCACCTTTGACAGATGTGCTGTTATTTTTATTTTCTAGCAGACAATATGCCCTCTGTTATATTTTTAAAATACATCACCGCCTTTATGCTTCTGAAAGATGTAGTCTGCAGCTTGTGCAATCAGTCTTGAGTACCTCGTAATGATTTAGGACCACAAGTCGTGGAACAAGGCCAGAGCAAAACCTAAACGTCGTACTTAGAATTTAACACCTGATCTTCGAGATGCAAAAGACTAGGCTGCTTCTGCTTTCTGCGCCGGGGCTATTATAATAAGTAATTTCTTCCTAAAAAAATAGGCCATTAAATGAGAGTAAATAAATGTTAAAATGAAAGGGGTATTGTAATATACTTTCCTTCGTTTACCTTCATGTAGTTCTTTGATCTTCCTGTGGAGGAAAAAAAACAGTAAAGAGGAAAGACTAAATTTATTACTATTAGAGCAAAAAAAATATCCCTTTATGGTTTAGGTTAAAATGTGGGCACTAGACCATATTTCCTTTTTGGAACATGGTTCAAAAGCATTTTTTCAAAGCCCTTAACCACACGGGTGTTGTAACAATACGCACTCTCCCAAACGTTTTCAGTTCTGAAAGCAAAGAAGATGAAGATAGCATGCTTTTTGCTGGGATTTGAGTCTTAAAAAACAGACCCTGAAGAATGAAATTTGACAGCTACATTTATGACATTACAATGATTCTTGTCAGGTAAAATGCTTTTGGCTACTGGACAAGTTCCCCGAGGAAACAGAAATATGTTTATTTTAATTAAGGGGAAATGGCTGTACAAGTGTTAGGTATGCAATTACCTCATCTACTTGTGAGTCCCAGGTATTTTGTGAAGTACGCAGGCCGTATGATTCAACATTCCTTCTTGCTTTCGCCAAGTACTATAATATATTTAAGTCTCTCCTGTTTAAAACAAGTGTTTGGTCGTCTGAAGCATGCAAGGTCTAAGTATGGCTGTGAATGCCAAAGTACTGAGGAACAATTTAAAACCGTAAATCAGTGGACAGATTCTTGTGGTGATGGCCTGGGTGAGTGTGAGTTCACCCTAAAAAAAAAATAAGTTCATTCAATGCAAATGTTTCATTCTGAAGAAGTCTTTATTCAGTCATTGCTTTATAAAACCAAAACATGACACAGACTTACCGGTCAAGCACTCCCTCCTAATGGTTAAACGTGAATCACAAGAAAATGTGGTCTCTTAACGTTCTCAGGCTGACAAAAGGCTGGTCCCGGTCAGTCCTGGGATGGGAAACCTCAGCAGAAAACCTGGTTGCTTTTGTAGTTGTGTTGGTGGACCAGTAGGAGGCGCTTTTCCCCCTGGACCAGAGTTTCTAAAGCAATGCCGCAGTACAGGGTGGGACGGTGACGCAGTGTTTGGCATCGTTTCCTCGCATTGCTGGGGCCCCGGGTCCAACTCCTCTCTGCTGGCTGTGAGGAGTCTTTATGTTCTTCCTGTGTTTGTGTGGGTTTCCCCTGGGGACTACAGTTTCCTCCCACATTCCCACAAATCTGGAGGTAGGTTAACTGGCTTCCGAAAAAAGAAAACATTGGCCCTTGTGTGAGTGTGTGTATTTGTGTCTGGGTGTCTGCCGTCCAGTCCGGGCTGCATCGCACTTCGCACTCGCTGCTCCCCCGCAGAGCGCTGGAGTGGTTTGGGAAATGGATGAATCCTTGCTCCAGTATGGTGACTGGAAAACTGTTGGGAAGAAGTGCCCTTTGGCGGATGACGTGCTCAATTGAGGTCGTGAATTACAGCCAGGGCACTGTTCAGGGCAGTGGGAGTGTTAGGCAGGGCGTCCCAGCTAACTACCACTCGGGGGTTGAACAATCTGGCTTCCCTAAGGTTCTCCCTTAATTCAGCTGGTGACGTAATTTCTCAATGTGCCTTTCAGCACCAGGAGGCTGGTGAATGATGTGGGTTCCCTCATAATGAAGTTCTGTTTCATGCATTTATTTTGGAATGACTTCAGCTCAGCTGCACAGATGAAGGGTTGAAAATGTGCGGTACCATCGTTGTTGTATCCTGTTTTTATTTTGTCGGTCTTACAAACGCTGTTACACTGCACTTGTTTTAAGTGCTTACGTGGTTTTTCTCTAATAACTGCCTATAGAATTTGTTTCATATTTCAGAATTTGATTTTTGGATTTAAGTGTCAGAACTACAGAAGGTGCTGAAGCAGGAATTACAAAGAAAGAATATAAGAAGGTCTAATTTGCTTAGGTGTTAGTACCTAGTTAATTTGAGGATCTAACCCAGCCTTTTCAAAACAAACCATTGAATGGGCTTCAACAACATGGCTGGGTGGCTTGTTCTATACTCCCACAAGCCTGAAATATAGAGTGAATTTCAGCATAGACAGACGTAAAACATCTATTTTGTTACAAGAAGTTTTTTCCAATTAAAATTATTTTTATAGAACTCATTATCGGACCATACTCAATTTTTTTCCTGACATTTTCTTCAGTTCACTGGAGAAAAAAAGAATTGATTAAAAGAACATCAGGAATACATTCATTTGCAAGCTTCCTTTTTCTTTTTGATTTCTAGCTTTTTGACGGAGCACAAAAGTGAAAAGAATGGTCAAAACCTCATGAATGTATTTTCAGATCTTAAGTACTTTAGACATTCACAGCAACGTGGTGGTGGAGAGCTGCTGTGCTGGTTCACAGGCATCTCGCCTGCTTCAATATCCTCTGTTCAATCCTGATCTATGAGATCTATCTGTGTGGAGTTTGCATGTTACCCCTGTGTTTGCAAGTTTTTGGTTTTCCAGGTGCTCCTTTTTTTCCCTTGCTTCCCTAAGATACATGGAAAGACTTGATGGGATATTCTAAATTGCCCCTTTCTCTGTGCCCTGCAACAGGCAGACACCCTTTACAGAGGGAGAGCGGTATTGTCTGCATCCTTTTTCCAGTACAGATTCCGGTCACCCCCATCTGAAGAGGCAACATCCTGATAATGGATGGACTTTTAATATTTGCGCAGGGGGAAAGACTGATCATTAAGCCCTTTATAATATATTCTTGTTTAAGATTAAGCAGCAATGTCACTTTTGTCTCCCATGTTATGCCATCAGTGCCTGTCGGGGGACTGGCATTGGAAAAGAGCCTTTGTCTAAATTGTTTTTGCATCATCATTCCACATGAGGTGTTGTTTATTCGCCCTGTATCTGGGGTGTAATTGCTGAGCAGAACATTGTTGAAATGGCTCTGCACAAGAGTGCTCTTTCCTGTGTCCCAGTGGAAAAGGTTCAGAAAGGTTTGGGAAACTACAGGCAGTAGAGTTAACAAAGTAATTAAAACTAAAAAAATAGGTATTTTATTACTTTTTGCTGGAACAGGTATGAGACTGACAGTAAAAAAACATTCTAAATGTCTTGGATCACCTGGAGGCATGTCCTGGGAACTTCCTCCAAAGTGGGCCGTTGTTCAAGAAGTTCAAGACCTGCGACATTCAATCACTCAGTCACACCCCTCTACAACATTCAATCAAACGACACGTCAAAACTAAGGAAAAGTACAAATGGAAAGTAAGTAAAAAAAGAAAGACACATTCCTTCACTAGAGCTCAAATCAAAAGAAGGAAATACCTCCAGATCTAAGCCAAACCTTTCCACAATCCACCTGTTGACATCCACATTGCGATGTTTTGCTTTCCTAATTATCTTGATTCATAAAAGGAAGAAGGTCTTAGCGGTCGCTCAGTTTGAGTTGGTTTACACGGATGAAAACTTTACTCATCTCTCACATGTGTGGCTGCAATGCTTCCCAACGGTAATGTTGTACCTTTAGGGATACAACGGGATAATAAAAGGGATAATTCACAGAGACAAAACCCGTACAATGAAAGTCATGTCTTGCAAAGGGAGAAACACAGACAAAGCTTTTTAATCCCTGCCAAAAGCATACTGCGGTGATTCAATATGACAGGTTGATTGATATGAGTAAGTAGAGAGTTTACAGAAGCTGACAGCAGTTGAAAAAGAAAAGTGTTTTCTTCCCTTCCACACTCTTATCTACAGCCATAAATCAGTGGCATTACAATGCATACGCTCTCTGTATTCCATCTTACGCTGGAGCTCAACGAATTCCACTTTGACCTCTGCATTTGGCATTGGTCACTGATGCTAAATGCATGCTATGACCTGCATGACCTTGCCCATTCATATTTAATAGTCTCTAAAGGCTTTTGTAGTGTAGGAACACTTAGGTACAGTAACAGTACCCTTGTCATATGGTAGATGTTGAAATCCTTTGATCACATAGAATTATAAAAAAATAGTAAAAGCAGTGTCATTCTTGAATTAGTCTACTATGCTGCCTGATACAGCTTTGAAATTTAAGGTGATATTTCAGTCCACCTAGAGATGTATTTTTCCAATTACAAAAATACCATTTTATATAACTGCAAAACCATCCTAAGCAATGACTTTAGTCAGAAGTTTAAAGATCGTGCCCTTTGACCTTTCACATGCACTAAAAAACACAAACTGCCCAATGGCCTTTAGCCTTTTGGTCATCCACATACAGCAGATGAATGCTAGGGGCATCTGCATCTTCTTACAATTCTGTACTGTATTAGTCTGGGTGTCAGAATTATTGATAGTCACTGCAAATATTTTATAGACCTTCTATGACCTTTGACATTTTCTCCCTGAAACAGGATTGCCTGGTCATTTCAACCACTGTTTGGGTTTACTAGAAGGAAAATGATCTTGATTGGGGCTGAATTTTCACCACGAGATGATAGATATCTTCATCCCAAATATGGCTGGTTTTGCTTGTCAGGTATGACATTTCAGAACTCCTCCCCTCGGCTTTGGTTTGTGTGTGCTTTGGGGTTGAAAAATGTTGTGTCTTTCAAACCTCACACACGTAGATTTGTGGGAACATTAAACTAACTTGATTACAAATGACCTTTAATGAGAAAATAGCTCATCCTCATTTTCAAGCTTAATTTGAAATGTAGGTGACTTTACAAGGTATACATTTCATCTCATTCTGCCCCTGCCTTCATTTGAACTATTATATACCCCCGTGTTTTTAGAAAAGAGGAGGATACTGAGTGAGAGAGTTCTTTATTATTACTTTATTTGGTACTTCATTTTAAAATTTAATTCACTTGAGCAGTCAGTTAAAAACATATTTTCATTTGCAATGACAACTGCGAGACCCGTTTAAGTTTTGCTGGAGCAGATATGAGTGAAGCACCCTGATAAAGGCTACATAATCTGCACCTCACACAAGAAATGAACCCAGAGCCTTATAGTCAAAAACATCACACGGCTGCCAAGATGTATGATTAACAGAAAATGGAGTCATATCACCACTTTTCTGAGCTGTAAATTATTTAGTTTGACATAGAAAAGGGTTGTTTGGGAGTAGCTATTTTCATTTCCAGAGTGTGGGCATTTCCTTTGGTTCACAGTGATACTGATCATACTCAGCCTTAGCAGTGGGGTTTCAGCTGAAGGGTCAGGTAGTCCTAAACGATCTTCCTTGACTTAGAAAAATAATGCGTATATCTGTATTTCTGGATAAAAATGGTTTGAACCTTTACGGGATAGAAATACAATACGCTTGAAAAATGTGTATATTGTTTTCCTTGCAACTGAATTAAGATTTCATATTCTAATCGTCTACAATAATCCCACTCTGTGCCGGGAGATGTGATAGGATTTGAAGCTTTGCCCTTTGCTTGGAAATGAGCTGAAGCGAAAAAGCTAAAAACAGCAATCTTTCTATCTCACATTATACTATAAATGTGAGGCTTTCAATAACAGAATCTAAATCTACTTGAAGTACAAACAATTATATTTAACAATAACTATGATGGCAAAATTACATAATGACTAACCTTTGGGAAAACACTTAAGGAAATAAGGGCATTAGAGAATACATTTTTTAAAATGCTTACATCATAACCAAGAAACTGAGAGCGCAAGCACTATCATTGCGAAATTGCCTTCTGTAAATATTTGCCTTGAAGATTTTTTTCATGTTAAAGGCAAAGCTTTTGAAGACGATTTAGCAGAAGGAAGGATGGGTTGTTTGAAGAGCTATGCCTGCATGTACAGATGTAGTGTCAAGTACGAAGAAAAGCCATTATTCATTCCAAGTTTCAATTAATACAGGGATTCTAAATGATGTTGGATTGGAGGTACTTAAGACTGAATTCCTGAGTCTGTCAACATGGCAGGTTGTGTCAGGTTAGGTTTCAGAAATGCCTTCTCTGCAGATTGCATTCAGCTCCTGCGTTGGTGGACACCTTGGAATGCCTGTAATTGTGAAGGGCTGAAGCTCCGTTTTAACGCACAGGTGACTGGAAAGGTGGGTCTTATTCTGTTTAATAAGCAAAGCAAGGGAATACGAAGTGTGACATTAAAAAATATGCTGTGTATACAAACTCTGAACTCTAAAGGTAAGAGGACACTTTATTTACTGTAATGCGTATGGAGGACAACACCAGGAAAACAAAATAAATTGTTTTCAAAGCTGTATGTAATATTGTGCGTATTTGCTAGACAAACACTTACCTGTACAGGACACTGGGAAGTCACCATAGATCATCGTGTTTCCATGAAATTAATTGCTGTTCACTCCAAACAGAATCTTCAAAAAACAGGGAGTGGTTTAGCTCTACACATTCACACCCTCTTACACACACAAATACACACTCCTGCACAAGCACAAACACACAGTCCTGCACACATGCCAACACACAATATCGCACTCGTGCGAAGCGCAAACGTGTTTTTGTAAGCGCAACACCTTGCACTTACAAAGACACAAACACCCTTGCACACACACACGAGCACACTCTCTCGCGCAGACACCCACACTCTTGCACACTCACATGCACGCATTCACACAGAGAGACCTTCCAGGCCTAGTCCCCCACAGGAACAGATTAAAATAGCGCTGACAGATTTGAAGAAAGCCCACTCTCTCTCCTTCCTATTCCAGTGCGTGTCAGCCGACATGAGGGCATCACGGGATATTCCAGCTGTATCCCTAATTATTTTTGTAAAGATACAAAAAAGATTACATTTTTTGTATTTTTTCAAAGTTACCCACCCATGAAGCAAATGTCTGCATTATGATTTGTATATCTTCCAGGAGCCTACTGCAGGATAACACTGGAAGAAAATGACCTTCATTTAGCTTTGCTCTTCATTTTTTCCAGCTTTCATTTTCAAATTAAAAAACTTAAATATCTGTTTTTAACCCTCAATGCTAAATGCAGGATACAAGTAGTTTATTGAGTTATCATGTTGTGGTATGCCATTACAATTTTTAGAAGGTCTTTACTGAAAGAGGAGAATTTTGTCAGCACATAAGAACATATGAAAGTTTACCAATGACAGGGAGAAATTGGTTTGATGCTTCAGAGTTGAAAAGTATAGTGTGAAATATGGAGTAGGATATTTAATCAGGTTAAAGTTAACCTATTTTTGATAGTCCATTGCCTTTTTTGTTCTTTTAAGATTTCAGTTAATTATAAGTACATGCATATTCATAAACTGAGTAATTATGTCTGCATATTGGTAATGCAAGGAGATTCCCACATTGCCAAACACAGCAGTACACACATAGTTAAATGCCATCTTTTTTTAATAGGGTAACTGCAGTGCAAATAAAATAGCTCAACAGTGCAATAGCAGGGAAGACATTTAAAGGAGGCATTCTGTACTCTTCCTGTGCAGGGAATGGATTCTGGCCGCAGAACCCTGTCTGAGAGATCTGGCTACACGTTTTATTTGTTAATGCCGTTGTGGTTGTGGGAATAAAACAAGCATCTAGGAGTGTTCTAAGAGCCAGAGTCACTTGGTGCTATTTTTACAAGAACGGGTTGATTTGTCTTAGACCATTACCGTCTATTACCGCTGGAAGTCTCCTGGAAAGGTGGGAAGCAGAGAATGCTGGCATTCTGCCTAAAGAGAAATCAATGAAACAAATTAATCCTTCGCAGGCTGCAATGACACAGTAATCCATCATTCAGAGCGGCTTTTATACACCAAATCAGGGAGCAGGCAGAGAGAAAGGGCCCTGGGGGAAGAACAGACAACAACTTACACCAACAGTGGGAAAATACTGAGGAATCAGTTGATTTGGAGAGGATATATTACAGCTGATGGTCCTGGAGAAGGAAAAAAAAATGGTTATTGCGAGCAGTGTTTCGCATGCGATATGTTGTGCTAATTGGCGGACACGATGCACAGCTGTAATGTTTTCTTCTTCGGCAGTGCTTTAGTGGTCTTGATCATTTACTCTGAACTTATTAATACTGGTTAAAGTGGGGCTGAGCTACCACAGGAGAGAGTGCATTGTGGAGCAACTCATTTCGGAGGCTTTCCTGTGCACCATGTACTGCAGCTGTCCGTCTCACATGGTTCCATTGTCGCAGCCCAGTAATAGATTCATAAACGTTTATAGATCCAAATGTCTGGCCACATGTCTCCACAGAGCGCAGTAGCTTCAGTTACTGTGTGGAAATTGGTCTGAGCTTTGCAGACATTTTCAGGGGAACATCTTGTCACAACTGAGCTAGCATCAGCATGCTAGAAACTTCAGCAGCGCTCTTTGTTAGCACAATTAAACTCAGATCCTTGTAAAAGTCCAGTTATGACAGGGCAAGCCACACACCCACACAAGAGTGCAACCCCCGCGGCCATCGGCTCTTCTCTTCAAAGACCGTTTTAAAGTTCAAGAAAATGTTTGTCGCAAAATCCATCCGCCGTCTTGGGCTCCGCAAAGAAAAATGAAGAGGGCTCAAGCGAATGGGAAGTTAAGCTGGTCTCTTTTTTATGCTCCCTGGAGCAAATCAAAGAAAGCATTTGAGAGCCCCGAACAGAATGTTGTGACACATCCTGCGGGATCAGGTTACTGCGCAGCCTCTTCCCCGTGTCAGCTTCTGTCTCTTCAACAAGCCGCCGGCCGGTGCTCTGTCCGTGGCGAATACATACGTATTTAAAAAGGCAATGAACAGGCAACCAGCAGGGGGAAGGGGATCCTTCTGTGGAAAGCCATAAATAAATCATGCTGAGCTGTGGGACAACATAAGCAGTGCAGTTAGCTGCCTTGTTCCAGTAATGGGACATGCGGCTCACCGTCTCACTAGTTATCTTTAGAGACAAACACAGATTCCCCAGGACTATGATACAGAGGCTGCAGCCTCGGCTTCAGGGGCTCTGAGGAGGAAACACTGCCCCCGTAGTCAACATCACATAGCCCCAGTGAGTGCCCCCACCAAACTGAGAACGCCTCTCCTCGCTGTTGTTCGGGATGGCCTTTCACGAAATGTTTCGCAAACTCGGGCGTCTCGAGCTAAAATAGCCGTTATTATATTTCTGCCTCTTCTGTACTGTCTTCTTGGCACAGACCACCAACATAAAACCGTGCCCTCAGGATCCACACTGTGAGTCATGTGGATCATCGTCATTCTCCCCGGATATGTTTTGGGAGGTAGCTTCACTGTGAAGAGGCGTTCGAGGATGAAGACTACATTCCCTCCCCTCCTGCCAGAGGGTGAGAGCGAACCTTTAAAAAAGGATCCCGACCAGGATCTCGGCTTCTGCTCCTGCCGGAACTGACCTCAGCCAGTCAGAGGTCAGCTCAGGCATGTGGTCAACAGCCATCAAACCCCAGCTAAGAACTGACCTGAAGCAGGAGTGTAAGTGCATCATACTGACCTCCGATACTTTCCGATACTCCTAAACTAATACACTGACACCGTAGTGAAGCCACTATGCAGAGAGAGCAGTTCCCCCGTCCTGTTAAACCACTTGTGAACCACTCCTGGCAGGCTTACTGCAGTAACTCTAGATTTTGGCCATACAAATTACACCTGTCATGGCTCTCAAGAATTAGATTCAAATTGTACCGTTTAGTACTGGCTTATAAATTGTGAACCCACACCACATACATACATACAGCATTTGTGCAAATGCAGTTGCAATTTACCAAGAGGGAGACCTGTATTAGAATATTCCATCCATCTGTTTTCTAACCGTCTCTTCCGATTCAGGGTCACAGGCGGAGCTGGAGCCTATCCGAGGGCAAGGCGGGATACACCCTGGACAGGACGCCAGTCCGTCATGGGGAATTCGATAGAGCATTCACGCAAAATCGCACAAAACCGGACTCTCGCCGATTCCTTACAGTGGCGTGTTTTGTTTTTAGAAAAGCCTGTCTCGTTGCCTCCCAGGCCCGCTGCTGGGCTGTGAAAACTGAAAGTCCACTGGGGGTGTGAAGGTTTAGCCCTGAAATGTCTCGATAAGCTTCTGTGACGGGATGTTAAATCTGAAATTGCGAGATGCTAATATTTCACGGGGGTGTTCTTTCTGGAGAAAAAGAGTCTCATTTTTTTTTCCATTAGTCACTCCCGCAGGAGTGACGACGGCACAGCAGGAACTTTTCCAGAACAAAAGTGGACAATGCACAGATAAACAAGGACACCTGCTCTCCGTCCCTTCAAAGGCATGACAGGGACAGGAGCGTGGTACAAAGTGAAGGCAAGGTCTCTTCTGCAAATACTACCTTTCGAGAAATCCCTGTGGGAGTTTCTGTGCTAATTACCTTCATGTTAAGACCAAAACATGGCATAGATTTACATCACATTTGAGTTTTCATTTTCATGTTCATAGAAACATTTATATAAGAGACTTGGATCGTAGGACCAACATCTTAGTTTCAAACAATATTACAGACACACTTCAGGAAAGGAACATAAGAAAGGATAGAAATGTGGGGCCATGTATCACAATTAGCATGTTTAGCACATTTTTAGCAGCTCCTTGATCCAAGGATCTTATTAAGAAGTTTAAGATCCTATCAGCTATCGGCTTCGATGACACAGCTCAGTAACTTGTTCCACACTCCCGTAACTCTTTTGCTAAACAACTGGTTCCTGTATTCAGTTTTAAATGAACCCATACCTCAAAGCAGTTACAGATACACAATACAACAAACCCAAATTAAAAAATCTGAAAATGCAAAATTTAACAACAGATATGGAATCTGTAAGCAAGAGGTTAATTCAATCAGTTTCAGTTTAACTAGGCTGTTGTGCAGGGCCAGGGGCATCTCAAAGAATCCCTGAAGGAGTGCGATCTTGCAGACCTGCTCTATCTTTGCAGTAGTTTGAAAGTTTCTTCTCACCTTATCTTTTTTTAATTTTCCTTCAAATGCATCCTTTAGCATAGGAAATAATTTCTAAAAACTCCCTGGTATATTATTTAACATAATTATTAGAGTAGAACTGACCTGCAGGCAGAGCAAGTATTTGTGAACTACTAATACTTGGGAAACACTTTAGAGAAATTAGAAGGGCTTAAAATATGATTATCCTTGTTGTTAGAAAACTGTATGAAGTGAGTTTGGAAAATTGCTGGAGAGAAAGAAATAAAACAGGTTTCCTTCTAACAGCAGTGTCTTCACCGTATGTCCCGGTCTTGTCAGATATCAGAAGTTGGGCAGGACTGGGCCAGGTCAGTACTTGGAAGGGATTAATAAGGAAATCCAGACTGCTGGCTGAGGTCTTGATGGACCATGTGGGCATCACTCCTCCCCTGAACCAGGAGGCCCAAACCAATCTCCCTGCTTGGTGACACTGAGCTGCAGGCGTTGTGGCTTAGGGGTAAGACTATAAATCAAATTCCTGACTACCTGTGGTATCAGAGAACCCAGGGCCCTGTCCCTAGGAGCAGAGGTAGAGGTGATAACCCCAGTGGTTCAATTCCACTGGACCTCAGTGATGGACGGAGTGTCTCCCTTCAGCAATGAAAATTAAACCAAAGGATGCAA